TACAATCTTTAATCAAAGTTTGTAGCTGGCACATAAGGTATGGCTTTGAAGGTGAGGGGAATTATGATACAAGATAAGAAAACAATTTTAACCTATGAAGAAGATGCTATATTTATGTTTAGAAATGCATACAAAGGCTCAAGGGGAATTGCACTGAAGTTGTTCTTGTGTGCCACTGTTGTCCCAAAGGCAAAATAGAAAAGAAAACTTGGATTATTTGAAATAAGTTCAAACACTTACCATGATAGTATATGTATGATTTGTTGGCCTTTGTCGGAGCAGTAGAGGCATAAAGTCCATGGCAGTTTCTTGAAATAATCTGTTACAAAGCTTGTTTATGGTGTCTTGAAGAAGGTTACAAGATCCAGAATTATAAAAAAAAAAATATGCAAGGATTATAGGATATATTTGACAGTATTTAGCAGAAAAATAGGGATGAACCTCATGCAGAGTTGTATAACCAAATTTTTCTTCTTTTTCATTTTTTTCAGGATTAATGATTTAGTGCAAGATGTCTGAAAAGCCGATTCGTGTTGGCCAGCGTGTAGAAGTCAACGGCAAAGGTATGGGAGTCTTTGTTAATCCTTTTATGGGTTGGCCTTTCATTGGCAATGTCTGAGCCACTTTTAATGGATCCTTCGTTGATTACACTGCAATTTTTCTAATGCTTTTTAGGTTATTGTAGAAAGGCATGTGTATGTCTGTTTTGAGGAGGAAGGATTACACATAATGTTAATAAAAAAAGATAAAAGAAACAAACACACGCACTAAAGCCATCATACATTGAGTCAGATTATTAATTCATTCTTATCATTATTTCTTCCCTCTCCTTTTTTTATATAAATAGATATAGGTTCAGATATAAATTCCCCCCCACCCCCATTTTATTTCCTATATTTCAGGTATGCCATAAACGTTTTTTTTTTTTTTACTTTTGGTTTATTACAAAGGACAAAGATATATTCAAGTAATTCTTTGACTTTTGTTTCACTAAGTAAAGATATCCAGTCTAGTTTGAAGGCACTTTCATTTGATTTTTTATAGTCAAATTATTTTCTTGTATCACTCTAAAATTGTTTTGAGTACAGCATGATTCTGATTTCACTCAGTAGTAATTATGAGTCAGTTATTGATGCATTTTCAATCATGGCTTTATTTTGAAGCTAGTGTGAGTTACCTTTCATTCAGCAACAATATCAACAATATGAGCAATGAAAAGGTGTGAAAGTTCGTGTGTCAGCATACACTCCCCCATTCCAGACTCCTTAGGGACGGTAGCCTTCGTCGGCAGCACACATTTCTCGCAGGGAAAGTGGGTAGGCGTCGTACTAGATGAAAAGAAGGGCAAGAACAACGGCTCGGTGCAGGGAAAGTCGTACTTCCAGGTGAGTTTGTTTCTGTGGCATTTCCCTTTGTTTTGAATGAGTTCAGAAGGCATGGCTAAATTATTTTATTTTTGTTTTGTTGTCTCTGTGGTTGTGATAAATGTTATTAGAAAGGTTATAGACATTTCAGACAAATACATGTTTCCCCCCCCCCCCCCCCATTTTCTTCTCCAAGTTCAAAATAGTATGACGAATGAAAATGTATGTGAGTGAGTGAGTGAGTGGTGTATGAGAGAGGGGAGGGGAGAGATATTGGGAGAGTGAGAGAGCAAATGAGCAGAAGTGGAGCTGCTACACTAGTCTTTCATCTTGTGAGGATGCCATTGGAAGACTAAAATTATGTATTTCATATTGCCTCCCCCAATGTCCATGACTGTGCCATAGTCCTCTGTGGAGTATTTTCTTATGACTTCACAGCTACATAGGGTCATAGGTGGGGGAGAACCTGGTCCATCCATAGCCAAGGGTTTTGGTAATAGAAAGATGGCTGGCTTAAGTCAGTCTCTGGAGATCTGACTTTGATTTTTCTCAGCATCCATAAAGTGCTGTTCCTCATCTCACTGAAGTACCTGTTATTGGCACTTCAAAGGTTGTAGTAGTAGCATGCCAAGGAATATTTAGTGTCTGTTGGCTTTTTGCTTCAAGATGATGGCCCTTCCAATGCCACTGACGCTGTCCCATGGGATGCAGAAGCCATTTTATTTTCTTTATTTTCTCTACATAATGTGAAAATCAAAATATATTAAAATTTAGTTGTGTGGATTAGTCCATGTTTATAATTTTAGCTTGGTTTTATGTTTATGAGTGTGTGGCTATGACTGTGTGTGTCGTTTTTATCTGTATCTGTATTTATACTCAGGCATGTACCGTTACATCTGTATGAGAGTGAGACAGAGAGCGAGAGAGATATGATGCCTTTACACTACCCATATTTTTCTGTCTTACTGACATATGGCATTAATTTTTCAGTGTGATGATGGTTTTGGTATATTTGTACGGCAGAGTCAGTTAGTCCCCTTAGACACAGAGGAAGAGGGTGAGGATGGCTCTGCCGAGACCACTCCCTCTGCCTCTTCCTCTGCAACAACACCGGCCAGTGACAAACCCAAGTCCAG